GTCTGAAAGGAACGTGTCACAGTCAGACATAAACTTAGAGATTTTAAACAATCGTCTGATTTCTGCCCCTCCAGATCCTTAAATATATTCTCAAACACGCAAAGAAAATAAATCAGTGTAGTAAACTTAATGAAAGAGCCAACTCGATGTTACAAGACTTTTTCCTCTTGTCAGATTTAAATACTTTAAATGAAGTCCAGACGGAGACACTGATGTTCCTGATTAGTGAGTTTCCTGCAGTCTGACTGTTTCACGGTGTTCTTGGCTGAAAGTGCTGATTCATTGGCTTTATTTGGGGTTTTGTCATGGATTTAGGGCTGCCACAAGTCATTTATTTTGTCGACAATTAAAATAGAAAGGCTGTCTAAATAATCTGGATCCTATTCTTCTTACATTTTGGGGGCCTATATGAAGGTTTGGGGTCAGCATCTGTTGATTTCTTAAAGCCTGCAGCAGAGAAACAGGCTGTAATGGCTGCAATGTAGTCTATGGGTGCAAATGCTGACTATCAAACTCTGTCCACTAAAAGTTATTTTGTTTGTCACCAAAAGGCTGTAATTGTTATTCTAAGTGTCTGAAAACAAGGTTTTTGTTAATGGATATCTTTCCATTTTTAAACCAAAACCAGCTGTTACGCTGCTCTCTTCAGAGCTTCCAGACTCCATTGACAAAAACAGCAATGTTACCTCACAGAAAATCTGTCTACCTCTACCATCATCATTAAGATTGTGCATGTCAGATTAAAGCCCAGGTTTAAAAAAAATAAACTGAATTCAAATATAATCTGTTGTTCATCTTCTTGGTTGTCATGTAAAAAAACTGCAAAAAATACGACGAAAACAGCCAAGATGTAGTTTGTAAAAACCTTAAAATGACATCCATTACATCATTTTTTTTAGACATCCCACAAAAAGTAAGGAAATTTGTGTTTGGTAGAATATTTATTTGTTATTTGGCAACAAATCTTATACTGTTGGAAGGCCTATTTATTTCTATTTTTAAATGTTGTCACATTTGTAAGGAAGATGCATTTGTGGGATAAGCAGCAGAGCTGAGTATGTGGGTTGCGCCCATGGAAAACTTGCCAAATCTTCTCTGCCAATGCCAAACAGATTACTATATTCCTCAAGATGACGCCATTTTTTATTCTTCCATGGGGCACAGGCAATTTTTTATAGTAACCACAATGTGCCATTTTTGAGGATGCTGATGGCCAGTATACCCCGATTAACGCGGTTGAAGCTGGTGAAATGATTTTGCTTGGTCAAAGTGGAATATCATATTTATGTAAATTCCTTTCTTGCCGTGTTTTGATGAGTTCCAGAGTGACTTATGTTCCCTGAAGCTTCAGGCTTAACTTGCAGATTTTTCTGATTTAGGTTTGTGATTCTTATCAACATGTTCTCGGGTTTAATATCGACACGTTTGGTGCGACTGCAGCTACCGAGTTACTGCAGATTGTCTTCATGTTCATGGTTCTCATGGCAACAAGAAACTTCACCATCAGCCTTTCTTTTCCTCAAATAAGCTAAATGTATAAACTCAATATTTTTGCACCATGCAAGAAAGTGAGAAAACTCATTCGAAACAGGATGCATGGATGAAGTCAGTTATTTGCGTACACACACACACACACACACACACACACACACACACACACACACACACACACACATCCTTACTGACTCACCCGTCTGTGATGTCGGCTGAGAACCAAAGCATGTTTGAATGCCATGTCTAAATAAGGCTGTAAACTGCTGCTGATCAGTGTGTGTGTGTGTGTGTGTGTGTGTGTGTGTGTGTGTGTGTGTGTGTGTGTGTGTGTGTGTGTGTGTGTGTGTGTGTGTGTGTGTGTGTGTGTGTGTGTGGCACTTCTCTTCAGCTGTTTGTGTCTGAGAAATAGCACACAAATTGAAAGCGTGGACACTGAAAACAAACGACTCTCCATTGTATAATTTTAATTCTCATATGGAAGATTTAGGGCGGGGCTACATTTTGATTGACAGATTTCAATAACGGTCCCTTTTGGCTCCAAAAAAATCATGATGGCGGCAGCTTACATGCAAAATGGAGGCTTCAAAACAGTAACGCACCAACCTCTTACTACAACAATGTTTGTATTGGTGTTTTCATTGATGCATAAAACTCCTGAAAATTCCCCGAGATGTTCGGGGTGCGCTGCATGTCTGAACGATAACAGCCGTATTTTTCAACTCGACTTAGCCAAGACTTTTTGTTGTCAGCTGCTTGGTGAAATTTCCACATGAAGTCAGTGTGTGCTGATGTGGGAACGCAGCAGATTATCTTCAGGAAGACGCATTGGGAGTGAGCAGGCGCGGTCGGTCGATGACGTTCAGACCGGTGCGTGGCCAGCTGCTTATACTCTTCTCTACTCGCCAGAACGTTCTTTTCCACTCATTGTTTAAACTGTGACTACATCCATACACACACAGCGCTGATTTAAAAGTAAAAAATACTTTTATTGAATTCATTTTGTGTGTCAAGTGGCAACTTTGCTGCATGCTAGCTGCTGCAAAGTTCACCTGAAAAACAATGGCGTCAGTAGAAGTATCCATCCAGCTTCTGAAGGCGCCTTATGCCTGCTAAATGATAGACTTGCTAACGTTAGCTTAGCATGCTCATTTGGATGAACTCCAGCCTGCAGAGAGAGCCGGTCCACAGCACACACTCCTCCTCTCTCAACATGAAACAAACAATCATCTCTCTGAATTTAATGACCGCGACTTGAAACGTCTGCGGGGGTTGTTAGGTTTGATGTTTCAGCACAGTCCACTAAATTCAAACATGATTTTACAAAATGTTATGGTGGTTTCTTTCCCCAAATTAAACCGCCGTCATCTCTTCATGTGGAACAAAGAACAACAAGTCTTTAAACCACAGGTCTGCACCACGCTCGCCATGTGTACATACCAGGAGGTTAACTGCTTTACAACACCGCTGGCAGCTGGGGAAGCGATTCCTGTAAGAACCTGTGCTGTTACACGCTGGAAAAAAAAAAAGGAGGAAAGAAAAGGAGGATCTTATTGGTGCATATAGGAAAATGTTCTCAGTTAACACTCTGCATTCGGAAATTCCTCCTGCCAGGATGTCTGGAATTTAAACACTAATGAACTTTAAACACTTATGCAGCTCTCGTCTCGCTGCCTGCCGTCCGGACAGGTGTGTCTCTGTCTGCGAGGAAACTGGAAATGATTTGATTACAGGGTGTCGTAAGGTTGTAACTGAGGGAAATGATATAATTATGATTTTAAATAGGGGAGAAGGTGTTTTATGAGACCAGAAACATGGGAGATTTTCAGCCCAGAAACCTGGAAACTGTCAATCTGTAACCTCGTTAAAGACATGGACACAGACACCGCGAGGCACCACCATGTTTTCTTTTTGCCTTTATTTGATTGGACGGACGGGGCTGCATGGTGGCTCAGTGGATAGCACTGTTGCCTTCACAGTGAGGAGGTTCCTGGTTTGAATCCCTCGTCTGAAAGGAGTCTCTCTGTGTGGAGTCTGCATGTTCTCCCAGTGCATGTGTGGGTTCTCTCCATCTTCCTCCCACAGTCCAAAGACATGCTCGTTAGGTTAACTGGTGACTCTTAATTCACCTGTAATCGACCGGTGTACAGCCCTGTGATTGACTGATGACCAGTCCAGCGTGTACCCGCCTCTTACCCAATGACAGCTGGGATCGGCTCCCCACAGCCCCAAACGGGTAAAGCAGCATAGATAATGGATGGATGGATGCTAACGACAGCTGAAGTGAGACGGGGAATGAGCGTGGAGGATGACTTGCAGCAAAGGGCCGAGGTCGGTTTTGACCCACGGCCGCTGTGATGAGTCATGAGATGCGAACACACTTAAAGTGTTCTGCATGAAAGTGTTTGAGAACTTAAAGCCCATGCACTAAAGGATGAAGTACCTCTGAATGCACGATGTTCTGAAACCTCTTTTCACATCAGCAGACTCACTAAGCGAAGAATAACCTTTTTCACTCTGCTGCACACACACTTCCTGTTTACTCTGAGATACACAGCTGCAGTTAAACTTTGATTTAATGATGAGAAAATTGGCATATTTGAAGCATTTTTTTTTGTTTTTTTCGTTCTTCCTGCTTTGGCTTGAAATCATGCAGGTATGTACGCTGCTGCATGGAGATGGTTTAGCTTCTCCAGCTGGTTCTGAGAAACACTTTATAAAAAAGCTGGTATGAGGACAAAACATGAAACACGCTTGTTTCTGTGTGTGTTTACTGCAGAGACAGCTGTTTTCAAGCATTACTTTACACCTCGACACCTTTCTATAAAAGGAGAACTACTCAGATGTTTTTAAAGGCAGAATGTGCGACTCTTTGATCCAGTAGATGAGCACCAACATGAAACCAAAACAAACTGCTGTTAGGCCACGCCTCCTCTATACTGAAGCCTCCACTCTCCTCCAGAGACACACCTCCAACCCTCCTCCACTCACGTTCAAGAAAGGAGTTATGAATAAGAACGCGCCATAATTAAGAACCATTAAGTGCGAGGGGCAGAAGACATTTTTCTTGGCTTAACTTTGTTCACCTGACTTATTTTTAACTTATTTTTAAAAAACAAGCAATATATGTTTGAAAGATCACACCATCAGTTGTAGGAATCTTCTCCTCTGTCGCCCCCCGGTGGTGGAACGTGATTCGATCTGCAGAGTCCCTTTACACCTTTAAGAAAAAGCTAAAGACCCATCTCTTTATGAACACCTACGACCTTAATGATGATGATGATGATATGTAGGATGGTTTTGATGCTGATTAGAACTCTCTAGAACAGCTGTTGATGTTGTGCTTTGCCTCTGGTCACTTCCTGTCAGCACCTCTGGTCACTTCCTGTCACCACCTGTGTTCTCTGTAAAAGAGGTCTCTTCTTGTTTTTGTTTGTTTGCGTTTATTTTGATGTTCGTAACTCGGCTTTCAAACTAAAATCTTTTCCTCTCTGTTTGTGTTTCCGCAGCCGCCAAGCGTCCCTCCTCGGTCTCGTCTCTGAGTGGGATTGTTGGTCGGATGATGTCATCCGGCGATCGAGGAGCCTCGTCCTCCTCCTGCACCTCGGTCAACACCGCCTGCTCTGACGGCGAGCGTCCCGCCTCCCTCTCCTCCTCTGCGTCCTCTGCATCCCTGCAGGACACTTCCCACTCGTCCTCCTCTTCCTCGTCCTCCTCTTCCTCCTCTCTGCCGTATGGCGCCGTGCCGACCTACAACGCCTCCTCGACGTCCTCCACGCCGAAGAGGAACGGCTCCGACATCAGCCTGGACCTGACTCCTCTTGTCACGCCCCATGGAGGAGGAGTCCCTGGAGGAGGAGGAGGAGTTTGTGTGGTCAAGGCGTCAAGTGGCGGCCACACCCATAATGGACAAGTAGCCAATCAGGCGGCAGCAGCAGCAGCAGCGGCGACGCCCAGGCAGCTCTCCCGGCTGGAGCGAGTCATTCTGGAGATCGTAGAGACAGAACAAGCGTACGTCAGAGATCTGAAGAGCATCGTGGAGGTAAGAGGTCGAGCTCCACTGACAGATCAAAAAAATAAACAGACGTGTTGTCGACGTCTGCCAGGAGGCTTAAGACCCGCCTCTCTTTGTCTTTTACTAAACTGATCGAACTGTGTGTGTGTGTGTGTGTGTGTGTGTGTGTGTGTGTGTGTGTGTGTGTGTGTGTGTGTGTGTGTGTGTGTGTGTAGGAGGGGCTAGCTGTTGCCCTGATTTACTAGCCAGGTGTGAATGCCTCTGGGCCTGTTTACCTGCAGCTGGTGTCCACACACACACACACACACACACACACACCCTAACACACACACACACACACGCACATACTCCTCCTCCGCCCTCTATTGCATCATGGGTAAACGTTTATTAATTAAGTCTTTTTTTTAAAGATATTTTTGGGGAATTTTTACCTTTTTTGGAAAGAACAGCTGAGAGACAGGACGTGTTGGGAGGAGACAGTTGGGGGGGGGGGGGGGCAGCAAAGGGTCGGGGTCAGGGTCGGGTCTGAACAGATCCATCAGCTCCTACGATGAGGTCTACAGCCTCTGTACATATAGTGCGTGATATACCCGCTAGGCCATCCGGCATTGGATAGAGTTTGAAATCAGGGAGAGAGAGGATTACATTTTCTCTTCACAGTAAATAAAGACTTTTATTTTGTTAATTTCAGGAGGATTTAAGGTTAAGCTTTGACAAACAAAATGATTCTTATATTTATAAATATTTCGTAAACATCGACACAGTAACAACATTTACTGTTTTTTTTTTTTTTTGGAGCAGGAAACAGGAAGAATTAACTTCAAAATAGAAGCTCTGTATGTTTAAGTTTCAGCCACGCTTGGAGGACTTCAGCCTCCATCCATGGGTCACGTGCACTAACCACTACGCTCCTGCCCCCCTAAAGGAATTACTTTTAACATTTGATCTCCTAGTTTGTGTCTTTATTATCCCTGTTTTGTCTTGTCCAGGTAGTTAGTTTCTTTATTGTCTTTTTATTCACATGTTTGCTGCACAACTACACACAAGAAGTTTAGGAGTTGATATACGTTTACAGCTTGTTATTCAAAGTCAATTCAGCATCATGAAGCCAAAGAAACACACTTTATGTGTCCCAACATTTAGGAATGATCCATTTTCTTCACCTGAGAGTGTTTATTCCTGCTGCGCTGATCATAAATCAGCCGATATTTCATGCCAACAAAGGAATGTGTCGGAGTTCTTTTTGTTGAGTTAAAATTTAAAAAAAAAAAAAAAAAACGTTTTTCAAAGAGAAGTTTGAATGAAAAATAGTTTTTGAGAGAATTTGCTGACTCGGTTTTTTGATTGTGTAAGATTCATCCATCATTGGTCCAGGTGCAGCGGGAGTTAGCCGGAGCAGTGTGTTTGTGTGTGTGTGTGTGTGTGTGTGTGTGTGTGTGTGTGCCTCGGTCTGTCAGGTTGGAGTGTGAAACATCCTTTTGAAGTGAAAGAGAGAATTTACTGCTGCTTTCATCCTCTGCCATGACACACAGTCTCTCTCCCTCCCACACACACACACACACACACACACACACACACACACACACACACACACACACACACACCCCTCATCGCTCGCCTGTCATCAGGTGTATCAGCTGTCTGTCAGTTTCTTCCCTCTGACCTCCGGTCCTCCGGCTCTCTCTCTCATCACTACATCTTTCTTCTTCGTTGGTTAATCCTCCTCTCTCTCTCTCTCTCTCTCTCTCTCTCTCTCTCTCTCTCTCTCTCTCTCTCTCTCTCTCTCTCTTTTCATCCACACATAGAGGTCACATTTAAAAACTGAAGACTTCTAAAGAACTGGTCTTATTATTGATTAACTGACTTTTAGTTGGTTAGCTGAGTTTTAAATCCCCAACTTTAAAGTCAGTGTCGGTCATTTCTCAGATCCACTTCTTCAGATTTTGGTGTAAATTGTCTTTAGGTCCTGACAGAAATGAATAACTCCTGTGCTCTGAAAAAGGAACAAAGAAAATCTGTCATCTGTATCAGTTTGTAATCCTGTTAAAACTTCAACCAATGTCTGCCACGAGGTACCAATCTGAAGAACCAATCACACGCCTCCCTGTCTCCCTGCTCGTTCTCTACCCCTCACATGCTCGAGCCCACACTCAAAGTATGAGCTGAGGTCCGCTTCTGGAGCAATGGCGCTTGTGCATGTAATTGAGGGGGCGTGGCTTTAGAGGGAGCACAAAGGGTGGGGGGGGTGGGGGGGTTGCAGACGGGGCACTGAGGGAATACTACTTTCAAAATCATGCTAGTTTTTAGTAAATCACAAACCCTGCCTTTAAGTAACGGGCGACCTCTGCTCAACGATTCTTCTTCAAAATGTAGAATCTGTTCGCATGGGGAATGTTCTGGTGTCTGTTTGTAGTACATCTGTTGTCTGAGCTGTGTTGACCAATTACATTTCAGCAGGCTTCAGTAAAACAGTTTGTGTACAAACGACACACCAGCTCCCATTGATGGCGCTCTAACGATGGTTTAAGAATAAGATACCTTCATCGTCTTTGTAGGCAACTACAAACGAGAGTAAGCTCAATACACAAAAGCTAAATGATGCAGTGTGTTTGAAGTGCAGCATTAGTCTCTATAAAGAAATATCTCCTTCCCTCCTTCAGTCCTGACATGTTGTAAAGATCTCAGACTGCACGTCGGCGTTTTGAACTTCACACCGTTTTAAGTTCAGTGTCAGAACTCAGAGCGACAATCTCAGAATTCCTCTCTGCCCGATGGAAAGGGGGTTTGATAGATGATAGCTGTGTGTGTGTGTGTGTGTGTGTGTGTGTGTGTGTGTGTGTGTGTGTGTGTGTGTGTGTGTGTGTGTGTGTGTGTGTGTGTGTGTGTGTTGTCCTGTAATGTAAGCCTTCATTCCTGCTGCTCTCTGTATTTGAGGTTTAGCTGGAGTCTGGTTTTGATTGAGGCTACATGATGTCACGCTCACTGGGAATCTGAACCAACTACCATGTGTGTGTGTGTGTGTGTGTGTGTGTGTGTGTGTGTGTGTGTGTGTGTGTACAAGGAGATCCAGAGAGAGGAAAAGAAGGAGCAGGAGAGAGTCAATGCCGCTCCTCTCTGTCGCTAACAGACATCTTTAAACTCTTTCAGAAGATGTCTCAGACAGTTTCACACCTCGTTACATCTCTCCAATCGATTTTCCTCTTCTCACTAGTGTTCATGAAGCTCGTTTTGCGCCGTCCTCTGCCTGCTTTCAACATTTGTTTTGAATATAAGTGATTAAGTTATTAGAAACACAGTGAAATAAAGTCACCAGATTCAGAGTTTCTCGTTCTTCCAGAGAGAGAGAGAGAGAGCTGGGTTGTGGAGGGAACATGAGACGCCGGGTGCTGCAGGGATCCTACTGCTGACCTGCAGCCAAGTGGGACAGGAAACTAAGGGGGGAGGAAAGGGGGGGGAATAGAAAGATTGGGGAGAAAACAGATGATGAGGGGAGAGGGAAAGGGAGAAAGCAAAAGAGAGGATGAGGAGGTGGAGAGATGTTTGGATCAGAGTGAGATTGGGGAATAAGAAGGAAGAAAAACAGAGAAGCTGAGGGATACATAATGCAGAGTGTGTATGTAAGGGAAGGAGAGAAGGAGCTAAATAACAAAGAGTAAAGGAAGAGAAAGACTATCAAAAAGAAGAGGGCAACAGAGAGAAAGACGAAAGAGAACAAAAGTTGGGAAAAGAGAGAAACAAGTAAAAAGGAAAAAGCAACAGACGACAGAAAAGAACATGAAGTAAAAGAAGGAGGAGGTGGAGGGGAAGAAGAAGGGGGGGTCTGAGGGAAGGGAGCGGGGATGAGTGAGTGAATAAAGAAAAGTGAGGATTAAACAAAGAGAGAGAGAGCAGCTGTTAAAACGACTCCTTCACTCTGCAGCAGATTCCTCCTTTACATTCACCACGATGAGAAACTCTGTTAGCATGGTGGTTACATGAGCCGCTGTACGCAGGCTGTAGTGCTCGAAAACGGGCGGACCGGGTTCGAATCCGACCTGTGGCCCCTTCCCTGCATGCCATTCCCCACTCTCTCTCTCTCTCTCTCTCTGTCTCTCTCTCTCTCTGTCTCTCTCTCTCTCTCTCTCTGTCTCTCTCTCTCTCTCTGTCTCTCTCTCTCTCTCTCTCTGTCTCTCTCTGTCTCTCTCTCTCTGTCTCTCTCTCTCTCTCTCTCTCTGTCTCTCTCTCTCTCTCTGTCTCTCTCTCTCTCTCTCTCTGTCTCTCTCTCTCTCTCTCTCTGTCTCTCTCTCTCTCTCTCTCTCTGACAGAAAATATCAACACAACAATTCATTTAGTGAGGAAACAACGTCAGGAAGTGAAAAACAAACAGTTTTAAGTCTGATCAGACACACAGGTGCTGACAGGACGTGACCAGAGGCAGAGCACAACATCCACAGCTGTTCTTGAGAGATCAATATCATTCAGGTCGTAGGTATTCATGAAAGAGCTGGGTCTTTAGCTTTCTCTTAAAGGTGCAGAGGGACTCTGCAGATCACATGGAGTTTGGAAGTTCATTCCACCACCGGGGGGCGACAGAGGAGAAGAGTCTAGTCAGTGTCTTAGGACCCTGTTGTGAAGGTTGGATCAGACGCCTTTCATTTGCAGAGCGTAGTGGGGGAGGGAGTGTAGACCTGGATCAGAGAGTTAAAGTAAGGAGGAGACAAGAAGAAGTCATCTTTCAGTTAAATGCGTTCCAAATCCTAAAACTTTTTTTTTTAACCCATAAACGTTTGGTAAAGTTTACTGTACTCACAGGAGGTTTAACCTTTAGGCAAAGGTCAGAAATCACCTCCAAGGGGGCCTCAGGGCATGGGCAAGAAAGTCTCTATGACCTGATCTATCTGACATAAACTTCCATCTGTGACAGTTTTAAAAAAGGAAAAGAGGCTTTACATCAGAATACACAAACAAGTCCATAAGCCGAGGTGAACAGGCGGGTTGTTGTCCAAGGATGTAGCGCTGCAGATAACTGCTGATATGAGGGAGAGTTCCAGGTGGTGGTGGTGGGGGGGGGGGTGGTGTGGGTAATGGAGTTCAAACCAGTGTCAGAAGTTCGGGGGGGTAGGGGTGGAGGAGGTCAGAAAGGTACTGAGGGGAAAAGGCCAGGCTGAGATTTGTAGGTGAGGAGGAGGATTTACAAAAAACGCCTTTAGTGGAAACTTCTTCTAATGCATTTGACTTCTTCATGCACAGATTTAAGTCGCTGTCCCCGAGCTTCATATTTTGAATCGTTTGGCCGCTGCCCGAGCTGTTTCATGACTTAGGAATGAAAATTGGGCCGTTCTACATGGACACCTCGTCAGAAAGTTAAAGTTTGAATGAAGATCATTCTGAACCTGTTTGCTCAGTGAAATCTAAATGTTCAGGTTTCATTATTTTACACGTCTTCCTGTATGATTTGTGGACCCCTCCTCTCTCTGTGACCCACTTTCAAACAAAGTCTCCCCTCTCCGTCATTCTCCCCCTTCTCCTTTTACTCTTTCTCTTTCTTTCATCCATTGTTTGTTCGCTCTACTTCTCTCATTCTCTTCTTCTCCTCTCTTCTCCTCTCTTCTTCTCCTCTCTCCTCTCTTCTGATGTTTGTCTTCTCTGTAGCATCCCTCTCTCTCCTCTTCCTCATTCCTCATGTCTTCTCCTCTTCATCATCCTGTTGAGCGCTCTCATTTGTCACTCATCTCTCTCTCTCTGTACCCTCCAGTGTGTGTGTGTGTGTGTGTGCGTGTGTGTTTCCTGTTGCCTTTTAAAGGTGATGAATGTGGCCAAGGCCTCTCATTATATGCCTCATTATAGACACACACACACACACACACACACACACACACACACACACACACACACAGAGCACCTTTCACTGCACACCAGTTGACCAATCAAAAACCTGCTCCATTAAGGGGCGGGGCTAAACAAACCCCCCTTGCTGTTTTCCAATGATGATGCTTTGCCGTGGTACACTGTGAGCTTACTTGTGTTGAGAACAGCTGTTGTGTACAAACAGGAAATGCTCGTTACAACACTTCTCCACTTCCTCTTTCTTTTCTTCTTCTCTGGCTGTGTCTGAAAACCGCAGACTTTCAAATTATTCATACCAAACATGACGTCACATTAAGTGTAGTATGATCCAAATTCAGAGTGTGCAATATCGTGTTTGCAGGAAAACCTGGATGTTTAGATCTGCCAGGAGCACACAGGTCATGCTAACCCGCCCCACAATGCATTGCGGCTCTCAAACTATCCAATCGCAAAGCTCGCCAGCTGCATGCAAATAGAAGTAACCCTTCTGAAATACATTTAACGTGTTGCCTAATCAAATTAAAATGACTACTTCTCTGTGTTACTAACAAACTGATGTGTGAAGTTGTTGAATTCTATGTAGGGACAGACGCTCACGTTAGCTTGATGCTAGCTTATCCACACTGCATGCTAACACCACGTTAGCATGCAGTGTGTATTGCTAAAATGGAAGGACAAAAAGTAAGAATATCTCTGGCCTAACTTTTTTTTAAAGACTTGTTTATTGGCTTGTTGTTGACTTTATTTGAAAGGACAGTGGAAAGAGTAGGAAGCCAGGGAGATGTAGAAAGTTTGGGATGACATGAGGGAAAGGTGCCACAGGCCAGAATTGAACTTTTTCTGTCAGAAACATTGACGCTAACACTTTCACTCCTCTGCTCTTTTTTTAACGGCGTGTTTCTCTTCTTTGTTGCTTCCTGCGTCTCTTCCTGTCTGACGCCAGCTTAGAGTCGGTTTCCTGTTCACACAAACGGCTCAGATCTTGAGGGTTGGACGTACTTGATGTTTGTGCCCGGTAGACGAGGACGAGGCCCGGCTGCTGCGTCTCAAGTTTGTGACAGATGCAACTTAAAAATAAAAGCAGCTGTATTGAAAATGTTAAAGAACAGCTGCGTCGTCTTTATCAAACAACGAGCATGTTAGCTCGAGCCGGATACAAACTCTCTGTAGGTCTCTGTGATGGGCGGAGCTGAAAGACACACACATGCTGCAGAACAGGGATGGGCAAGGGCCACATTCATTTATCTCACTGCCAGAGGGCCAAATTATAGATTCCAAAAATGATTACAGTCAATTATGTCTTAAATTTAACTTGTGATCAAATATTATTATGGACATATTTTTATCATTTCATGTCAGATTTTGTCATGTTTTCTTCATGTTTTCTTCATGTTTTCTTCATGTTTTCTTCATGTTTTCCAATTAATTGATATTAGAAAATGTAGAGCTCAAACCGGATTATTTCAGTTCCTAACACCTCGCTTTGTTCTTCTGTTTTTGTATTTTCTTTTTGCTTTTTCACTCTTTTTTTTTTGGAAAGAAAAAAAACTCACCTGGGGGCGTTTCCCTCCCTCGTGTTGTGTTTTTTGTTCCTGTCAGCAGTTCACTGTACAAAGTACATTTTCTAGAACATTCCTGTTTAAAAAAAACCTCCCTTTTGCACTTTTTAAGACGAGAGAATATCTGAAGTCAGGCTGTGCGATATGTCGCGCTGAAGGCAGCGAGCAGCGTTGAACTGCTAGTCTAACAACGATGATTTTAAATGCATTTTAAATATGTAAAATAAATCAGCACACATCACGCAGCGTCAGAAGTGTTGATTTTAAACGGATAAAAACGATGTTTGCTCACTTCTCGTTTCATGTCTGTGGTGTTCACAGATTAAAAGCACGAGGTCTGCTTCACTTTAGGAGCTGGTTATTTTTGATGTGTTTACTGTCTCTAAAACGCAAAGAGGCAAGCTACAAGCTCGAGTCGACTTCAGCCAATAATCTGAACTTTTTCAACTTTCAGTCTAAAACGGCCACCAGGAACTACTAAGTGAATCTCCTCGTCTGTTTCTGGATCATGTTGAGGGTTGATGGGGGCCGCATGTGGCCCCCGGGCCGCCAGTTGCCCACCCCTGCTGTAGAGAATCAGTCTGATTGGTGACACAGTGAACACCTGTGTGACTGCACTCTAACCTCGAGCAGCATATTGTATCCTATGATGTTTGTGTCCATGTAAAACTGAAATCATTCACCCACTCAAAACTTCATCATGATGTCACTTTAAAGAAACATTTGTCTGTGTGTGTGTGTGTGTGTGTGTGTGTGTGTGTGTGTGTGTGTCTGTGTGTCTGTGTGTGTGTGTGTGCAGGATTACCTCGGCTGCATCATCGACTGTGGCACTCTGCCGTTAAAACCGGAGCAGGTCAGCACTCTGTTCTGCAACATCGAGGACATCTACGAGTTCAACAGGTGAGGCCCCTCCTTCATGTGTAACACAAACTGAGAAAACAGCTGTTTGCATTGTAGCGCTGGTAAATAGAGTTTTGTGCAGCAGGTGACCTGCAGAGAGAATCGACATGCAGCAGTGAGTTTGGAGGAGGTGTGAAGGTGTTGCATCAACAGTTTGTGACTTAAGATATGAGAGCAGTCTGAGTATTTAGTTTGTGATTCATGTTGTGATGTTTCATCTGAGGCGACATCAAGTCGTCTTTAACGTTTGTGGACTGATCAGTGTGAACAGAAAGTGCAGCCAGGAGCATCCTGTAACTTTACATGTGATGTTAGAATCTGTTCCATCATGTGGATGATTTCTGTGCATCTGAGTGTGGAAAGTATCTTGTGGGTAACAGAGTCTCATAAACACAGACAGAGAAAAAAGCTGCCGGTGGAAACCTTCATACACGCACAGATAAACTGAGCAAGGCACTGAGGCTGCCAGAGCCGCGGGTTTGATTCCCACCGGGACGATTCCGCACTGAAAAAAAAAGAAAAGTGCTTGTCTGGAGGTTTTCTGTGTGTGTGTGTGTGGGGGGGAGTGTACAGCAGCTGTTGAGCTCATATGAGGAAACCAGAATCTTCAAGTTTACAGAACGAGGGGGAGAGAGAGAGAAGGCAGAGAGAGGGGGAGTGAGAGAGAAAGAGATAGAGGGAGAGAGAGAGGGGAGAGAGAGGGAGAGAGAGAGAGGGAGAGAGAGAGAAAGAGATAGAGGGAGAGAGAGAGAGGGAGAGAGAGAGTGTCTGTTTCTCTGTCATTCCTCCTCTTGATATCTTCACATGCAGTCTGACTCTGCTGCAGTGCTACGTTTCTGTTTTCACTTATTCTGCAGCATTGAGATGTTTTGTGTGGAGGACATGCCACAAAGAATTAAAAACATGATTTATCAGCTGTTTTCATCGACCGAAATGTCTCCACCATCGGAAGAATTCCTGAATCAAAGATTTTCTTT